CAGTAGGCAGTTGAGTGAAGTAATTTTTTGAGGGTGTTCACAGCAACCTTTCAGGAGAGCGTGGTCTATCATACCATATTGGGATAGAAGAAATCCACAGGGTCTCATCTTCTGTGAAAACAAAAGAAGGACTTTTCCAAAGCATCATAACCTTAGATCCAAATTCTGAAGTCAAGATACCTTTAGAACATATATGCAGGTTCAGCTTAGCAGCCCATTTAATGAAATGGTTTTTTGTACTTAGCTCCTTCACAGTCAAAAATTTTAAAGAAAACACAATAAAATACATAATCCATCCAGACCCTCTGTGAATTTTCCATTTTTACATGGCTTATTTTTCTTTATTTACTCTGTCTCTTTACTTTACCCCCTTTTTAAAAAGACATTAACTTTATTTTCTATATTCTTTTTTCTCTCTCTCCCAAGCCTACATACACTCATCCAACATTGTGATCCATTTAGAGGTCTTTTATGTCTGAATATGTCCTATTGTGAATCTGTAATTTTTTTACTATCCAGGAGCATTTTTGCTTTGCAGTTTTAAATCACTAAGCACTTAAGAATCTAAGCTTTGACATTCCTAGGTCAAAAACAGGTACTGCCTGCTTTCCCTGCCCAGTCCAACATGGTGGAGCCACTTGTGACTCTGAACCAGTTGCTCCTCTGAGCTGTAGAGTGGCAGCTGCTCTGGATGTTGGCTCCACCTCTCTCCAATTTCAAAATACCATTTTGTGCCAGCTCTGGGGATGCCAGATAGGAGCCGTGGAGTAGACAGAACAGAATGCTGAGAAGAAGGGAAGTGAGGCAGACACCATGCTTCTCCGATCTAAGACCGACATAGGCTAGAATCTTTCCGGGTGAGCCACCACCTCATGGTGCTACACAGATTATTAGAAATGGGTTAATCAAGATGTGAGAATTAGCCAATAAGAGGCTGAAACTAACGGGCCAGGCAGTGTTTAATTGAATACAGTTTCCAGGTAATTATTTCGGGGCATAAGCTAGCCAGATGGCCAGGAGCTGGGTGGCAGGAATGCAGCCCGCTGCTCCATCTACAATTGTCCTCATTTATTGCACAGTTGTTTATTGTCTTAGTCTTTAAGTTAGATAGGTATTAAGAATTATAGATTAATAGTCATCTATGTTTGTCATATTTATAGTTAGATTAATCAGTTTTTTTAGATACATAGAGATTATATTCTGTATAAATAGATAATCTTCAACCTCTTCAAAGAGCTGTAGAAAATGGCATTTAAACAACTTAGAGTTCTGTTGAAGTGAGACACAATCGCTCCTGGCACCACTGATCTATTCCCGAGAGATTGTTGAGCACCAAAGACACTCCACTTGGAGCTTGTCTTCTTCTTGGCAAAACCAGCATCTGGGCAAACAACTGCCTATACCTCAACTACTGACAAAATACACAGTATCCGGAAATGGATAAGCAGAACTGTCAAATCTTGCCAAGACAGGGTAAGATGGTTTTGAAACATTTCTTGCCTTTAAAAATAATCTGTCAGTTATTCTAGGCCTTAGCCAAAGTTGGTTGCTTCAACGCTGCAAACATGACTTTGGGTGATTGCCCAGGTAGCTAGTTGTCTCTGTGATTTGTTGCATGTTTTGGAAGTTGTTTTACTGAATTTCCTAATTACCCAGATAACATTATTTCCCTTCTCGAATCTTCGATGGGGTTGAAGACTAGATACATGTAGTTACTTTCCTCTCATGACTTGGCCAAGTTATTTATTATACAAGACTTAAGCTAGTTAGAATAGAATATTTGTTCTTATTGTATATAACTTTGTAATAGGTTTAGAACTCTCTTACTTAAATAAAAGGGGGAAGTGCTGCGGGAGCTCCTTCCGCTCCTTCAGCCAATAGCCTTTAAGATCTCACCCCACTTGGGCATGGTCTCCCTGACTCGAAAAAGCAGCTGTAGTCCTGTGCTCCCTCTCTTGCTTCGGACTCTGCTTCCGGCTACCAGACGCTTTTCCTGGTCGTGCAGAAGGCTGTTGTCTAGGCCAGTGATCTGTAAGTTTTTCCCTTTAAATAAATAACCCTTTTATTAATCATAACTCCACACTGGTGTGGGATTGTTTTGTGACTTACTCCTTTAAGCTTGCTTGGTTGTTCTTTCCCTGGCTTCTTTTGTTTCTTCCCCAATCAACTCACACGGTCCTTTTGTTTCACCAAGATAGAAATCATAGGGTAGACAAGGAGACACCCTCAAATGTTGATGTCTGGCAGCTCTGTATTTCCCTAAAGTTTGCCTGGAGGTAGGTAGGTGGGGGCAGCAGTAGGTGGCACCCTGTAGTGTCACAGTCTTCCTGAATGCCTCTGGTACCGGGACATGTAGCCCTGCAAGTCTTACAGATTTTGTGAAGACTTAGGAAGCTGGGATTCCTCAGTCCTGGCTGTAGCTGGCATTTCAGCTTTGCGGCAGGCCTATTCACCAGGTGTCGTCAGCCCCGAAGACTTCACAGGTCTCTGAAACTCCAGGGTCAGTCACAGCCTTTGCTCCTGCCCAGTCTCAGTTTGTTTCTGTCGCCCTCGAAATGTTCAGCTGCCAAAGAGCTGACTGCCTTGTCACTTTCGTGGCCTGGCTGTTTCTTCCCTTATGTTAGCTGACATGTCCTACTGACAGTAGCTAAGAAACTGGGAGAAAATTTCTATCAGGCCTCATGGGCAACACCAGAGAAGGGATGAGCCTGCGTGACCCCCTGATACAGTCAGAGTCCTCATGTTTGGATCCATCATCACCTGGTCTCCTTAGTACCAGGTTTACTTTTACACCTTTGCCTCTGGAGAGCAGTCACAGCAGTCCCCCCACACGGCCACCAGGGGGCGTGTTTCCCTCTCGCGTATGCGGACACAGTCTAGCCGGTTCATCAAGCTTTGTAATCCAAACCACTGGAGCAGTCTGAGCTAAATTCCCTTTCAGGACATGGCGTCATCAGCGGTTAACCTGCACACTTTTTTCAAGCCCACTATGGAGACTTCAAGACCAGCTTGCAGTGGCGTAAGGGGTCTCCTCCTGGTTGTTGACTCAGGTTTTGTTTGTTTGTTTGTTGTTTGATTTTGTTTCCTCAAGGCAGCCAGAGCAGCAAGGGAGCTGCTAACGGGGGAGTCAGATTGTTGGACTCTGGCGTCCAAACACTGAGAAGGAGTCGCCCCCAGAGACCATCTCACACACTACAGCCGATGCAAAAGCATGAGGATTTTATTAATTCTGTCATGACAGGGTCCCCCAGCATTCGGGAAGCCAAGGGACCTTGAATAGCGGGTACAGTCTACTTTTAAAGGGGCCACAGAAGCAAGGGGGGTTGTTCTTTGACTATTCTGATTGGCTTATTTGAAAGGGCTATTACCAATAATTGACTGGAGAGCTGTTGCCAGATCAGATGAGGTAAGAGGTCATTTTGACCCCGTTTCCCAGGGGACCGAACCAAAGCATACGTACATGGGTAATTGTTCAGGAACCGAGTACGTGTGAGTGTAGCTGTTAGGTCCTTGGTTCCCAGGGGAGGAGGGGAAGCACTATGGCACAGAGGCTGAGAGGATTCAGAATTGTCAAAAATGGCTTCAGGATTGTCTTAAAGTCTTACAAGATCACTCTACTCCCAAACCTTTGTTTATGTCCAGGAAAGCGAACTTCAAAAGGAGCATCTAAATGAGAACTAAATTCATTATCAAAAACAGTAATAGCAATTATAACAGTGTTTCAGCAATTTAACCGGCCAAAGCTTCCAGGGAGAGATAGCTCTTTGTCTCCCTTCCTCCCCATTTCTGTCTACTCTTTCCTCCTTCCCTCCACCTCCTGTCTCCCCTTTTTCTTCCATTCCTCTCTTTCCCCCCCTCTTTCCATCCCGGCTATAGGGAGCAGAAAAGTTAGAATTGGGTAGGTTGGGACTATCAGAGACTAGAGAATGAGTTGAAGGCACTGAGATGAAAACCAGGGAGGTTTGGAAGGTGTGGTTCCTAGGACTGCCAAGAGGAGGGGATAAGCCGCTGGCTAAGAGGATCACACTGCACGGAAGGGCTGGAGCTCTGGGGTGGCTCAGGTCAAGATTAACGAGACCTGGGAGCCAAGGAGGGAGGCTTAAGGAGCCTGGCTACACGGTCAAGGCTGGGGTGATGGGCTCAGTCTTCTAGGCCTCAGGATGAAGACATAGTTCCACCTTACCCTAGGGCGGAAAGCCCACCCTGATCCTCCCACTCTCCTCCCAATTCTATTTTGGAGACTGAAAGACCCTCGAAGAGGACTTTCTCTCAGGAGGAGACCTCCCCATGCCAAGGAACAGGCCGAGACCATACGGATGCAAATCACAAGAGGTTTATTGGGCAAACACAGGTACCTGTGGGCGGCAAGTCTTTCAGAGGACTTGCTCGCCTGCGGACTGGAGGGCGGGTTTTTTTTATAGGGAAGAGCAAAAAGCAAGTTTACAGAAGCAAAAGCGTGGTTATCGGAATGAGGCGGGGGCTCAGCATGGGTGTCAGCAAAAGTCATCCTGTTCCTATCTTATAGATATCCTGTTTTGCAGTCAACCTGCTTTGTTGATGTCCTATCTTATTGATATCCTGCCTTGCAGTCATCCTATCTCGTAGACATCCTGGTCTCCTAAGCAAATGGAATGTTCTTATGAGAGCAGGCTGGCTGCTGATCTGAGAATTTTTCAAGCAAACAGGGCGTCCCCCCCCACCCCAACATGCTAGCTGTGGGTTTTGAGGAGGGGTCTGTAGGGTCTTTCAGAGACCTAGGTCAACACTGCCTTGGAATCACCAGGTAACTTACCCAGGAACTGAGGGGCAGAGGAGATCCCAGTCAGGAAAGCCGGGGAGTGAACTGGACCCGAGGGCTTAGTCTAGCCCTCCCTGCCTTCAGGTAGCTCTTTCCTGATCTCCTTATCGCTGAGGCTGCAGAACAGAGCCCTCTACTGTTGGAACCTGGGAATGCTGCTCTGACCAACAGAAACCATGAGCCCTGCAACTCCGGTAAGGAGGAGTTCTCTGGGACAGAAGGGAGTTGGGGTGGTGGCCTTTCCCAAACAGGTGAAACTCTGGTCTCTGGCGTTCCCTGTCTAATTCCACATAGGTGGGGATTTTGGACTGAGCTAGTCAAAGTAGTGACCCTAGAGGGGCAGATTCAGGCGATAAAATCTTTCTCTTCCTCAAATCCAGCTCCTGATAGATCACCACTGTGTCCTGGGACCTTGTAACCTTGTAACCTTGTGACAGAGCATCCTGTCTTGAAAGTATCCCACCCAGGTAGCCACAATACCACAGTGTTCAGGCTGCCACCCAATCCTTGTTATATCCTGGCAGCTCTGCAGCTTTGTCCCTTCCGATCCACATTTTCCCACCCCCCCCCCACTCATACTGAAGACCCTGAATTTTCTACCAGCACTTATGTAGGGTTCTTAGGTCCACACAGGGGAAATTCTACTGGCCTTTAAGACTCCCCAGCCTCCTCTGGGAAGCCTTTATGAACATCTAGGGCTAAGAGGGAAACTCTCCTGGTTAAGCCACCCTTTGCATTGATTCCTTTTCCTCCAGTCTCTTCCAGTAGACTGGGAGTCAGGGATAGACTGAGAAGGCAGGCTCCTGCTGCCCAAGAACCCTCCAAAAAAACCAACCAGGACAGGGCCTGACTTCTGTCTGCTAAATACATATGTGTGTGTGTGTGTGTGTGTGTGTGTGTGTGTGTGTGTGTGTATAATTTGTTCACAGATATTGTGTGTGAGGTGGTGGTGAGAAATCTAATATGTAGCCCAGGATAGCTTTACCATGTAGCTTACTATGTAGTCAGGGCTAGTCTGGGATTCCCAATCCTACTAAGTCAGCCTCCCAAATGTGGACCATGACACACAGTCTTTGTTTGATTTAAGTATAATTTCCAGTTAATTTTGTTTCCAGAGGACATTGTGTTCTTCAGTCTGTAAAGGGGTTGGATTCTTTCATGGGACACACGGCCAAGGGTCTAAACTGGGACAATGGTGTTCAGTCCTTTGGGCTTCGGGAGGGTGTTTATTTTCTAGAACAACACAGTTCTCTCACTGAGAGAGATTAGAGCTTCATATACAGTTTGGGAAGCACAAAGCTGCTGAATATAATCGATTTGGAAATGTCTCTGATGACTGTGGTGTGGGCTTCTCTGACATTTGACTAAAACTTAAAATTACCTCTCTCTCTCTCTCTCTCTCTCTCTCTCTCTGTGTGTGTGTGTGTGTGTGTGTGTGTGTACCAGTGTAACCCTGCACTTGTGGAGGTCAAAGAGAAATTGTGAGATTTGGTTCTCTTGTCCCACTTGTGGGTCTGGGGATAGAACGCAGGTAATCAGGCTTGGTGCAGGCACCTTTGTCTGCTAAGCCATCTTTTTTATTTCTTCTTGGTTTTTCAAGACAGGGTTGCTTTGGCTGTCCTGGAACTCACTCTGTAGACCAGGCTGGCCTCGAACTCACAGAGAACTGCCTGCTTCTGTCTCTGGAGTGCTGGGATTAAAGCCGTGCACCACCACTTCTTGATGGCCCAGAAAACTTTCTTTTCTTTGTTATAATAATTATTATTAGAAATCTATGTAGCCCAGGCTGGCCTTGGATTCCTGGGTTCTCCTGGGCTTGAGGCATCCTCTAGACTGAGACTCCAGAGTAGCTCTGAATACAGGCCACCATGTGCCATGGAAATTGGCCTTATTTTTGTTTTTGCTTCAGTACTGGAGATGGAACCTAAGGTCCAACCTATGCTAGTCAAGCCATCTACCACCAAGCTTTATCTCCAGCCTTCTCCTCCTCCTCCTTTTTCTTTTCTAAATTTTGAGGTGGAGTCTAAGTTGCCCAGATTGGCCTTAAACTCATTCTGTAGCTCAGGCTGGCCTTGAACTTGTGATCCTCCTGCTCCTCAGCCTCCCAGGAGGCTTCTTACAACCAGGCCCAGCTTCTGCTGAACTAATGTCTTGTCCTCCTTGAGTATCACGGAGGCAGTTTGTCCAGCAGCAATCATACTTGGCTGTAGCTCTTTGGGGCATGTCTCTTCATCTCTATCTCTCTGACTCTCTTCTCAAAATTAGATTTTAAGCTGAACATTCTTTTCGTTTTCATTTAAAATTTCTTGTTTTTGAGACAAGGTCTCATTATGCATTCCAGGAACTCTCTCTTAGATCAGACTGGTCTTGACCTTTGAGGGTCCTCCTGCCTTTTCCTCTTAAAGATTACAGGCCAGGCTTCAAGCTACACATTTCTCTCCCCCTTTTTTAAATGATATTATTTTTACGTGGAGGTGGGGTGAATGAGTGTACATGTGCGTGTGGAGGCAGCCACCACCTTTCTTGAGACAACGTGGCTTAATATTCATGGTCAGGTGAGGCTGGAAGGTTGGTGAGTCTGGGGATCCACCCATCCCTTTCTCATTGGGACTGCCATGCCAACTTGTAAAATGTGGTTCTGGGGATCTAAACTCAGGTCCATGTCATGTTTGCAAGTGCTTTACTGACAACAGGGTTTCTCTGTGTATATCTGTCGCTGTCCTGGAACTCACTCTGTAGACCAGGCTGGCCTCAGACTCTGCCTCCTGAGTGCTGGATTAAGGGCTGCACCACCACTGCCCGGCCACCCACACATTCTTAAGAGAAACTACTTTATGTCAAGGACAGAGTGTAGGTCAGTACTTAGCAGGTCCTGGAATACATCTCTAGTACCAAAAAGGGAAGCGAATTTTATGAAAAGCAAACAAATAAATGTGTTAACAGAAAGTTAAGTTGGGTGTGGTGGTATACACCTGCAGTGCCAGCTGCCCACCAGACCATTTGAAGGGCAGGCCTGGAAATACGGCCAGATCCTTGTTTCAAAACAGAAAAGAAAAACAGAAAGGAAGAAAATAAAAGTATATGTGTAGCCTCTTACGCCTGCTGGGTACTCCAGCCTGTACTGCTCTGCGTAGGACTGCAGACTACAAATCCCAGCTTGTCTCGGTCATTGAATTTTTCCATGCCACGCCCCCTCCCCGGGACTGAGTTGGGACTAGAGGGCGGGGCCTGAGGGTAGCTGGGCCCCCGGCACGGCCTGGGGAGTGCAAAGCCGCACGCCCTCTGGGGTACGCAAAGCGCAGGTGCGACTGGCTACGGGAGCAGCTTCATCCAGTAGCGGGCTTTTGTGGCAGCAGTTTCGGCAACAGGTGTGCACAGGTGGGTGCATCCCGGGGAACTTGAGAGGGAGTGTGCTCCTGACTGTAAGGTCTGTGTCAGAGCTTGGAGAGGGGAATGAGCTAGAGGAGAAACACAAGAGGCTAAGGCTTCCACTCTCGGTGTGCCAGCCCTAGTTACACAGCTAGAGGAGAAACACAAGAGGCTACGGTTTCCACTCTCGGTGTGCCAGCCCTAGTTGCGCAGGTGGGGGAAGGGCAGAGGCGCCTCTTTAAAAGGCACCTGGACTCCATCCAATCTAAGCTCCATCACATACAAGGGTGTGCCACTTGCCCCTCCCACCTCAATTGGACCCCCTGTAAAATAAAGGTCTCCACTTAACAGGGCTGTCTGGGGAGGTTTGCTGTGGCGGGCAAACCCTTTTGGAATCACCTGCGCGCGCGAGGGCAGGGGTTGTCTTTAAAGACTAAACGTGCATGCCCCCCCCCCCCCCCCAGTATTGATTCTGAGTAGGCCTGATCCTGCATACCGTGCGGTGGTTTTTTATTTGGTTGGTTTTGGCTTTTTGAGACAGAGTAACTTTGGCTGGCCTGGAACTCATTATGTAGACCAAGTTAGCTTATAATTCGCAGAGCTCTGCCTGCCTTTGTCTCCCAGGCGCTAGAATTAAAGGTTATGCCACAACACCTTATTGGTACTGCATCTTCTAAGAGCTCTTGAAGAGAAGCTGAAATGAGGATCCTGGCTCCACTGCTTCGTAGTCAAGGACTTCTGCGAGCCCCAGTTTCTCTGTTTCTAAAACAGGAATGAAGGCAGGGATGGTTGGGAAGCTGGATGAAGGCAGAGAAGTGTACCAAGCACACAGTGCTCAATGGCACAGCCCCTGTGGGGTTCCAGTGTGAAGGAGGCTCTTCTATCATGGAAATTCATTGCCCTAACTCTGACACTTTGTGCTGGTCCCATTTTCTAACACTTTATGAGCTTTAAGAATTCCGCACTCCATCCTTACCTGTTCATAGAGCAGGGACTTAGCAAGGTCTGGAACTGAGCCTAGTCTGGCTCTCACCCTGCCCTGGCTGCCCGCTGACCCCAGTGGGACAGTGTGCCCATTCTCTACAGGAGCAGAGCCTTGTGGGGTGGGCGGAAGGTGCCTGGCCTATGTTTGTTGACTAAGACAAGCTTGCATGGTTCTAGGGAGGGTAGGGCTGGGGGCTTCATTCTCAGGAGCTGCACTGAATCGTGAAGTTTGTGTGTCCTGGCTTTTCTGACAGGTCCCACCCGACTCCACCCTGGAAAGTCCTTTTGAAGAAATGGCCTTGGTGAGGGGCGGCTGGCTGTGGAGACAGAGTGAGTGTTGCTGGGTCAAGTCCTTGTCTGCCTTGTGCCTGATTCTGGGGCGCGGTGGGAAGGAGAGACACTGCTCTACACAGCATGGCAGATCTTTCTCCCTACACCAGAACCTTCTGGTCTTCCCATTCCTGGCTGTCGTTTGAGGAACCCCCTCCGCCCCTGCATCAGCGCCCACACTGACTGATAGTACCGCTGTTTTCACCTGTCTTATTCCCACCTCCCTTCCCCAGCCCAGACTGGCCCTAGACTCTAAGCTGCGTATTCCTTGGGGTACAAACTAAGCCTTATGTGTCCATAGCACCCCAACCCAGGTGGGACACAGACCAAGGCCCAGACAAAGTTAGACACACCTCGTTTTCAGAGCCATAGCTCTAAGAAGCCCTCTTTTGGGGGCGTTGTGAGGCATTGAGGGAATACTAAGTTTCATGTAGCCCTAGTTGGCCTCAAACTCACTATGTGGTCAAATATATCCTTGACCTCCTGTCTCTACTACCTGAGTGCTGGGATTACAGGCATGTATCACCATGCCCGATTCTATTTATCTTCTCTGAGATGGGGTCTTACTCAGTAGTCCAGACTAGCCTTGAATTCCCTTTGGTTATCAAGTGCTGGAACTATAGGTGTGAGCCTCCACACCTGGCTAAGAAGCCCTCTAATGTTGTGTACATCCTATTACCATTTCCATTATAAAATGTCTAGAGTCACTGTAGCCCCCCCAGTCACCCCCTCCCCCATTATCCAACCAAAGCTGTAAACTGAAGAAGAGCTATCTTGGAGATCTTTGGGCTAGGAGCCCCCATGGCCCTTTTTCTTGTCCATTTTTAGTTCATTTGGTTTGGCAGCCACCAGTCCTGTTGGGTTTTAGGACCCGTGGGGAGATGCAGATCCCCCATGCGGTGCAGGAGAGGAGACCAATGACCATAACTCAAACTGGAGATAAGAAGCAAAATAGAGGCTTCCAGTAGGGAGAGGATTTTGCCTTTGAAGAGACTGAGGCTTTTCTTGGAAGCTCTCACAAGTTGGTGTGAGTGGCCTGTCACAGTTGAGCCTCTACTGTGTCAGGGCAGTGGCTGGCAGGGATGAGAATACAGGAGAGGCCTTGTCCTCATTTAGAAGTGATGGAGATGGGGGCAGAGCTGAGGGGATTTGGGAATCTTGCCCCAGTAAGGCCAGAGTTCAGCTTCCACAGTGGGCCTGGAATATCCTGCAGGCTCCATCCTCCGCCGTTGGAAGAGGAATTGGTTTGCTCTGTGGTTGGACGGCACGCTGGGTTACTACCATGATGAGACGGCACAGGACGAGGAGGACCGTGTGCTTATCCACTTCAATGTCCGAGACATAAAGGTCGGCCAAGAGTGTCATGGTGAGCAGAAACACTTCTCTGGTGGAACTCTGTCCATGGTCATGTTTTTTTCTGTATCTGAGGACCACAATTGGGAGGTTTTTGGTTGCTTCCAGAGAGCTCCCACAAACACTACTTCTGGGCCTTTGCCAACTGCAGGTCAGTTAGCTATGAGTTAAGAAACTGGTCCTTGGTTGAGTTCCTACCTGGTTAGTCCAGATAAAATACCTGCAGGTACTAGAGAGTGGGCGAGGATGAATTAAGGGAGCTCAGAGAAGTGATGTAACTGACCTAGAGTTACACAGTGAATCTAATGCTTTAACCAAGACTGAAGCCATAGTAAAATACAGTAACTGAGAGACACTCTAGGAAGCCAGTAATGCGAAAAGATTGGAAGTATTTGGAGGGTGTAGCAGACTCGCAATGGGACCAGAAGTTAGCAATGACCAGCAAATTGGACCCCAAGAAGTAAGCCCCTATCACTGGGTGTGGTTTCCTGAGAAGGGACAGCTAGGGCCTATTTCTGGAATCTTCATGTATATGTGTCTTCTTTCAGATGTGCAGCCCCCAGAGGGCAGGAGCCGAGATGGTCTGCTGACAGTGAACCTACGGGAGGGTTCACGCCTGCACCTGTGTGCAGAGACCCGGGATGATGCCATGTGAGTGGGTTCACGGGATGTGTGGGGTGGGATCTTTGGGTGCAACCCGAAAGGGTTTTATCCTGTGGGCTGAGCAGAGGACAGCAATATAACTCCTGGTAATTGGCAAATACACAGAGAACTCAGAAACAGAGGCACGCCTGCTTCCAGTGCTGGGCCCCTGACATTTGGCATCAGACATTTGGCAGCTTGTGAAGTGATCCCTTACCTGGGCTGACTGAAAGGAGCAGGCATACCCAGTGGCATCTCAAAAGAGCCTCTTTGAAGAGATGCCACTGAACTCTGAGCTGAGGGCTAGGACTAGTCCTGCCGTCAGAAAGCAACGGGCAGTGTGCAAACAAGGCAGCCCATCCTGGGAGGCTGAGGGCTCCTCTTACATTCTTCCTCTTCCCACCCTCAGCCTGAACAGTGGGGCCTCTGCCTAGAGAAGAAGGAAAGAGATGGGTGTGTGTTTGGGGGACAATCAAGATCTGGGCAGATAGCATAGAGCTGCCTTGTCCACCCCAGCCAGATGCCATGACAATCAACAAAGGCCCAATTGTCCGGTATTCACTGGGCATTCTGGAGGCTTGGGTCATGGTTTGGGAAACTGTGCAAGTCGGAATGTGGAGATGGGCTGCAGGCAGAGCATCACTCAGACATGCAAGAAGGTCTCTAAGATGCCCCCCCCCCCAATTCAACTGAGATAAATGAGGGGAAGAGGCTGGACTAAGAGTTGTTATTAGCTTGCCAGGTAGTTGTGGCATACACCTGTAATCCTAGCACTTGGGAAGCAGAGGCAGGCAGATCTATGCACTTGAGGTCAGCATGGTCTACAGAGAGAGTTCCAGGATAGTCAAAGCTACAGAGAGAAACCCTGTCTCATAAAAACAAAAACAACAAAAAACCAAACTCAACCAATAACAGTTATTAGCTTACCTCAGGGCCCATCCATGAGACTAGGGCAGTAGAGCAATTGCTTTTGTCTCCCTGAGAGTTGGAGGCCAGCTGGGTTGGGGGTGAGCATCTACAAGGTGGGAGCCCCATATGTCTACCCTGCAAATCTTTCCTCATGATTCGGTGGGTTTTGCTTTGCAGAGCATGGAAGACAGCGTTGCTGGAGGCGAATTCCACCCCGGTGAGCCCTGCTCTCTTCCCCTCTCTGTCCCACACGCCATGGAATCATGGGTCACTCAGCCCCCGGGAGTCCCCTGTGGAGAAGGGAGGAGTCAGCAGGAGGGAGGGAGAGAAGCCTCCAGGAGGACTCACTGGAGGGTTGCATAGATGCTAGAAAAGAGGGATGCATGTGTTATCATACCTCTCAGAACAGTCCTGTGAGGAGAGAGGAGTTAGTGTTCCCTCTCTGCACATGGTTAAGGTTGAGGCTCATTCATCTACACAACAGATATGCATCTTACGGTGTGTTGGGCACCATACCAGGGGTCAGGGACTGGAAGTAAACCAAGGGATGTAGGCTCTACCTTCCTGCACTCAGTCTAGAAGGAGCCAGATATAAAACTAATTAATGATTTCATTGTGATATTAGCCACCGCTCTGGCAGAGGCGTTCAGTATGTGACCCTTTTGGTGGTCTGATCCAGATGTGAGTTCATTTGAAGATGAGACTTAAAGGATAAATATAAATCGGGTGAAGGTGGAGCTATGGTGAAGGAAACAGCTTTCCAAGTAAGGGGGACCAGTATGTGCGAAGGCCTGAAAGAGTTGTCAGATTGGCTGACGCCCAGAGAATGGTGTGAGGGGGAGGCGAGGACAGCTGGGGATTCGGGTCTGTGCCTTGTGTTAAGAATATTGGTTATTATTATTATTTACTTAGAGTATCACTTTGAATCTCAGGCTGGCCTTGAACTCATGTAGCCCAGACTGGCCTCAAATTTGTAGTGATTCTTCTGTCTCAGCTTGCCAAGTGCTAGAATTACAGGCATAAATAGCCATGCCTTGCCCTAAGAATACTGGTGTCTGCTCAGAGCACCAGTAAACCATTGACAGTCTTTAAGCAAAAGAATGGGCTGACCAGATCACATCTGTCTTTTTGCTAATTTACTTATATGTGTGGTGTGCCCATGTATTTGTGGGTGTGTGCACAGGTGTGTAGAGGCCAGAGAGCAACCTTCCTCAACACCATCACTTTATTTTTTTGATTTTTCATTTTTGGAGACGGTTTCTCTGTGTAACAGCCCTAGCCGTCCTGGGACTCCCTCTGTAGACCAGGCTGGCCTTGAACTACATAGATTCGCCTGCCTCTGCCTCCCTCAGCCATCACCTTATTTTGTGACAGGGCTTGCTGGGACCTGGGGTTCACCAGTTTACTTAGGCTGGCTAGTCAACAAGCCCCAGGGATCCTCCTGTGTTTGCTATCACATGCCACCATCTCTGCTTTTTACATGGATTCTAGGGGTGAAAGTCAGGTTCTTATGCTTAAGCACTTTGCTAACTTAGCCTTTGCTGCAGTGCCAGATTTGTATTTTCAAAAAGCCACCCTGGAGCTGGTGGAACAGTGTGTGCTTGTGATCTCAGTACTTTGGAGGCAGAGACAAGACAACTCCAAAGTTGGGGTCAGCCTGGACCAGAGAGCCAGACCCTAACCCTAAAAGGCAGGCTGAGTAGACAGCAGGAGGGAGAGTGAACACCCAGGGACCAGCTAGCTGGAGCCAGTCTCCCTGCAACAGGCTGCAGATCTGGGTTAAGTCTTGCTGGCTGACAGACTGAGGAGCGCAGGTATTTAGGAGATGCAGGTGAGAGTGCTTAGTGATTGGTGAGTTTGAAGCATTGCCCGAGGCTCCCTGTGGGCTCTCTCACCTGGAGAGTGTCCACTGGGAAGTAGCAGAGGAGACAGATAGTTGGAAACCCTCTTGAGTATATCCACCTGATGAAGCCCTGGCAGGGCTATGCCATCTCATCCTCCAACAAGAACTGGGGTTGGCAGCAGTTGGTATATTGACCCACTTTACAGACAGGGAAGCCAAGGTTTAGAAAGGGGAAATGGCTTTCAGAGTCTCACAGTCTTAGGTCATTGGAGGAGTCTTCACTGGAGACTTGGTAGGGAAGACAGATGCACGTGTGCATGTTTGCACACATGTGCATCTAAGGGCTGGAGTCTGGCCTGGTTGGAAGGTTTACCATGGAGGGAGTGGCATTAGAGAGACGACCTCTGAGCCCATCAGGGTCAGGTCGTGAAGGGTTTCGAAGTCTAGTTGGAGGAATAGCCTTTTCCTGACACTGCAGTCAGCCATTGGGGGCTGCCTTGGGTTTTCAGGTGGGAGGTGGTTGTGAGAAGCTAGAAGGAAGACCAAGAATCATCAGAGGGAAGGAGCCAGGTTGGCTAACCACCCTCTGAGCTCCAAGCTCCCTCCCCTCCAGCAGGGCCAGTCAGCAGGAGGGAGATGAGGGCTGACCGTTCTGCACTCTGTGATTCTATGACGCTGTCTTGCTCCTCCTCTGCCTGTCCACCTGCCTGCTGTACTTACCCCTCACCTCACCTCGTCTTCCATGTCCCCTCTCTTTGCTTCCCAGATACACATCCCTCTGGGCTCTGGCTTTATTAGGGCTGGTGCTTGTGTTTGTTTTTGTATTTCTGTGTCTGTATGTTCACATCTGTGTCTATGGGCTTCTCTGTCCCTGAGGCTATGCAGGAGTGGCCTGTGTTTTGTGCCTTCCTCCCCCATTCTGGGAAGAGGCTCATAAGGATATACTCACAGATGAAACTAGTATTGTGGGGTAGAGACTGGGATCCCATGAGCTTGAAACCAGGTGGTGGGGGAGGGGGGAGCTGGAAGGAGGTCACTGCTCCCTTTTTCCTGAGTAACTGACACCCCTTACTCCATCTCTGACCCACTCCCAGCACATGAACAGCTGGCTCAGAAGTCCCACAGGGGCCTGGTAACATCTCCTAGTCTCTTAAGGTGTAAAGGGCATCTGACATCTCCCTCCCTCTCCCTTCTTGGGTTTCTGTGGCTGGAGCAGGCCCCAGCTGGAGCCACCGTCCCACCCAGGAGCCGTCGGGTTTGTCCTAAAGTCAGGTGTACGACCCTCTCTTGGAACCCCTGTAAGGTTGAGAGGCGGATCTGGGTAAGTGCAAGCTCAGCCATTCTGCCTCCTTTCTGGCCATCAGGATGAGCCTCCAAAGTCACTTGTCTCATGGCTCCCCTTTCCTCACTGGACCACAGCTGCCTTTCAAGGCCTATGGTATCCTCCCAGCTTTGCTGGCCACACTTCTTCCCCACTGTGTTTGCTCTGCCCTCTGCTGCAATTCTCATCTCCTACTAATACTCACACTGTCTCTGTTGCCCAAATCCTTAGCTTCTTCTCATCCTTAAAGAACTGCCTCAAAGGCTGCCACCTTCCCAGAGCTTCAAGCACTCAGGGCATAGTCCACTGTCACTGGTTCTTAGCACTGGCTTCATTATTCGTTTGCTTCGACCCTCTGCAACGGGAACTTCCTCCAAGGAAAGGACTAAATGGTTCTGCCCAGTGAAACCTGTACAGCATGTGCTTAATCAGCGGTCAGTGATGGGCAGTCTTAAGAAGGGAGTGGATCTGTTCTTGGCCTGGAGGTTTCTTGGAATCAGGATGTAATTTTCTTCTTCCTCCTGATCCTCTTCCCTCCCCCTCTAAGATTTTATTATGTATACAGTGTTCTACCTGCATGTCTGCCTGCAGGCCAGAAGAGGGCACCAGATCTCACTACAGATGGTTGTGAGCCACCATGTGGTTGCTGGGAATTGAACTCAGGACCTTTGGAGGAGCAGGCAATGCTCTTAACCACTGAGCCATCTCTCCAGCCCTTATTTACTTTTCTTACCATGACTAAACACCTCCCAAGAAGCAATTTAAGGAACGAGAGGTTTATGCTGGTTCATAGTTTGAGATTACACTCCTTCACGTGTGAATGAAGCTGCTAGCTCACATCAGCCAGAGAAAGGGAAATAAATACCAGTGTCCAGCTGGCTCTTTCATTTCCCTTCTGTTTAGCCTGAAACTCAAACCCATCTTTAATGGGGGGGGGTCCTCTCCTCCTTAGTTAGGTCTCTGGAAATAGCACAGACATGCCCAGAGGTGTGTCTCCTGAGTTCAGTCAGGCCGGCAATGAAGACCAGCTCACAGGTTCTGGGCTTAGCAGAGCACCTGGTCTAGTGCTATGTGACATGGGCGCTTGTGGAAGTATATGGTCAGCTGCACTCTTTTCTTGCTCATTGATGCTGTTTTAGAATTGCTTAGGGACTTACATGACAGCAACAAATGTTGGTATCCTGTATGTGCCTCCTAAGTCTGGGGTGGGGCCTAGGAACTGTAATATAAATATAAATGCATATAAATATTTTGTGGTGCCAGGAATTGAACTGGGAGCCTAACACATGCTAGGTAAACACTGCTTTTTTTTTTTTTTTTTTTTTTCCAAGACAGTAGCTTTGGAGCCTGTCCTGGAACTTGCTCTTTAAACCAGGCTGGTCTCGAACTCACAGAGACTGACCTGTCTCTGCCTCCCAAGTGCTGAAATTAAAGGTGTGCGCCACCCCCATCCAGTGTAAACACTGTTTGTACTCCTAGAGTCAGGTTTGTGTCTCAGTGGTGGAGTACATGTGAGGCTCTGGGTTGATCCCCAGCTCTGGGGATTGGGTAAGGCTTCTGGTGATTGTGGCATGCCGAACTGAGCCCTGAAGTACCTGACCAATAGATGTAGTTTTTCTGGAGTTTCCCAAGATTAATGAGAAACATGCTCCGAGAGGTTACTTAGCTTCATCAGTGTTGCTCAGTTTACCAGAGAGGCCCGGAACTGCAAGTACAAGGCCTAAAAATTGGATTGAAAGACCACAAACCTAAGAACACAACAGTTTTAGATGAGGCCAGGAGGTTGTTTACATGTCACTCACTGATTGGGCAGCACCGTCTCTGCCCACAGAGGTTGTTTCTGGGGTGACCTGCCTGTTGCCAGGTGCTGTTTTCTTCTGGGCATCCCAGAGCTGGAGGGTAGGGACAGGGGCCCTGGAGAGGCATGAGGTTGTATTTTCCACCCACTCTGGATCCTCATAGAGGCCAGCTTACTGAAGCTTCAGGGCAGGCACATGTAATAATGTTGATTTCCCGTCCACCTTAAGAATCCTTCAGTCTTCTCGAGTCTTGACTTTTCTCCCCAACAATTCCTTTGAAAAACACCCCTTCCCCACCAAGATCACTCTAGTGTCCAAGTTGTTAAAGCCAATGGCCGCAGGTTGTCAGAAGAGCTATTGAGAAGGTAAAACTCTGAGACCTGGTGTGAAAGGCTAGTATGCAACATCCCAGGAGAGAAAATTCTGTGTTTGGTGGTATATAATCCCAATACCCAGGAACCAAAGCAGGAATATTCTGAGTTCAAAGGTAGCTTGGGCTGTGTATCAAACACCCACTCTCCTCAAAAGGCAAAGGTTCTATAGCCAGGCTTAGTGGTGTCTTCCTGTAACCCCAGTACCCGGGAAGCAGAGGTAGGAAGATCAGAAGGTCATTGTCACCCCCATCTATACAGTGAGTTCAAGGCCAAACTAGGTTGCATTCAAAATCCTGTTTCAAAAATGGACTGACGGCTCAGTCAGGAAAGTTGTTGCCATGAAAGCATGAGAACCTGAGTTAGATCCCAGCACCCATGTGGAAACAGCAACAGCAATGCTATGTACAATCTCAGTGCCAAGGAGGTTGAGATAGGAGAATGCTGGCCTGGCAGTTTGGTTCGGGTTAACCAGCAAGTTCCAAGTTCCTATCTCAACAATAAAGTAGAAAGCAAGAAAGGCATCTTGCATCAACCCCTGATGTCTACAGGCACACATGCATCCCCATACACAAAAGGGTAAAGAGGAGAAGGAACCCCTTAATCAAGATGCCCACACGACTTCTTGGCTCGAGTGCACGGTGCTGGCATTTAGACAAGGACAGGGCTGTGGGGCGGGGAATAGCGCACTCCACGTGTTAGTAAAGCTGACACATACAAACCTTTTCTTCTGTTTTTGTTTTTCGAGACAGGTTTTTTTTTTTTTTTTTTTGGGTAGCCTTGGCTATCCTCTGGCCTCAAACTCACCTGTTTCTGCCTCCCGTGTACTGGAATTAAAGGCCTGCACCACCACCACCACAGGCTGGAACTTCTAAAGAGAGTTGCCATTCTGGTGTAAAGCCTTCTTGTGTGAGCGACACAAGGGGGCTAAAAGGGAAGGTCCCAGGAGACAAGGTGGCCGTGATCCCCTTCAGGTCTGCTACCCCATGAGTAAAGGGCAGGTCAGGCTTGGCAGTTACTGCTAATCACGAATGTATTTACTGACTCCTGTCAGGCACTATTCCCTGCTGGTGACATAAGCTGAGGGCTTTGTCCTGAAGTGGTACACATCTGAGGAGCAGGCTGGAAAGGTGAAGACAAAGGATAAGGAGGGAACTATCATGACGCAGAGAGCCCAGGAAGAAGTACTTCCGAGACCAGGAGGGCTTCCTGGAGAGGGTGACTTTTGAGCTAGGCTCTGGAAGGTTGGTAGAAACCTGAAGGGGCAGGCAGCACTCCCAGCTTCTCTGTGCCTCAGCCCACAGCGCTGCCTGTCTCTAAGGACATCTCCCTTGGGACCCGCTCTGTAGTAGAAACTGGATGTTCCTTCCATTCCTTCTCCCTACTCTTCCTTTCCTCTGCCCCAGTCCTCCTTTAATTCTTGCCTACGGCTTGGCCATAGTTCTCTTCCTGGGACTAGGAGAGTAATCAGGTTTCTCCAAGTGAGAGGAACTGTAGAGTTGTTGGACCTATAAAGGAGATTTGGGAGCCATGGAAAATTCGAGCAATGTAGGAAGCCAGAGTAGGTGAAAAGGCATCATTGGGAGCGAGATGTAAAGGCTGAAGTTTAGAGAAGCATCATGGATTCTATGGGGGAGGTAGTGCCTTTTCCTTTAGCTTCCTGGTGCCTGGGGAGGAGGGTGGCTACAGGACCAAACCCAGACCAGGAAGTTCCTGGACATTTGACCTGACTGGACTTCCCAGGTACGCGTCTACAGCCCGTATCAAGACTACTATGAGGTCGTGCCCCCCAACGCGCATGAGGCAACATATGTCCGCAGCTACTATGGGCCTTCTTATGCAGGTAAGTGCCCATCACAGTCTGCACCAAACCTTGTCCACGACCCACCAGTGAAGACTAAGCTTCACTAGGCTCATTAGGCACACGTATCTTCCAAATCCCACCAGCAGGACTCTGGATCCCTATTCCCTCACTCCCAGGGCCCGCCCCACGCAGGCAGACTTCTCAGCAATGACATTCCTGTGCTGCTGGCGACCCCAGGTGGCTCTTGCAGGAATGGCAATAACCTCCTTCCTATTCCCAAGGTCTTGGTTACTAGTGTCCATCCCCAGATACTGCATGTAACGCCAGGTGCCTAGGGATCCTGAGGCTTCCTGTGGCATAGCCTCCAGCCCATGGTCATTAAACATCAGTGGCAAGTGCACTCAAAGTCTCAGCTCCTCTGACTGGGGAGCAGTTTAAGAGTCCCATACCTTAATGTGGAATTGGATTAGGGTCACAGGGGTTGAACCTAACTAACCCTTTGGCTCTTCTTACAGGCCCTGGTGTGACACACGTGATAGTGAGAGAGGATCCTTGCTACAGCGCGGGCGCCCCTTTGGCCATGGGCATGCTTGCTGGGGCCGCCACAGGTGCTGCTCTTGGTTCTCTCATGTGGTCGCCTTGCTGGTTCTGAGCCCTGGGGCTCCGACTTCCAGACCTGAACATAAAAGACAAGACGCTCTTCTTCGTGGACTACCCATTTAAACCCTGTCTCATTCTGACCTTTCCCTCTCTGTTAAGCTCTCTACGCCTGGCCCATTCCACCACTTATTGTCCCTCCCTCTCAGAGGAAGCTAACGTCTCAGGCTGACTTGGCCGAAATCCTCACCCCTACTGCCAGACACCCTTAAATCACAAACAGATCTATTTCTTCTAGACACAGTGAACATGATTTCATTTAGCTACAAGTGTCTGAGGGATGGCCATCACAAGAAAAAACAACAAAGCTACAGTTATCAGTCTGACTAGGACACATGCAAGGAGCAAGGCTGGGTGCTGCTGGCAGCAAGGGCAGAGAACATCCTTACCTGTCCAAAGAATCAACAGCTGGCTTGGTTCTGAGGCAGGGTTTGGACTGTAGTGTCCTCCAGGCTAAGGAGCTTGCTTGATAAAGGTGATGGAGCTCTTTATGGAGGAAAGTTTTATGAGTTCAACTACCATAAATATCTTGCCTGTTTTGTTAGCACTAGCACATATCCTTACTCCATACACCAAGTTGTTTTCATTAGGAAATGCCTTTCTGATCCCATGAGCTCAGTTCTATTGCTGTGACTGTTACCATCTGCAGCTTTTTCTCTTCCTCTACTCTGGCCCACTTTGGCACCAGCATGGGGAACTCATGTGCCTGCCTGCAAGTGGCAAGCCATCTCTCCATTTGTTCCTGGTTCCAGACTCTTCCACTACCCTATCCCAGTTGCCAATAGAAAAGCTAAAATCCCTGGCCCCAGTGGGCAGAGTATCCACTAAAGTTCCCTGTAGATGAGAAGGGCTCCGTTGGCCCTGCTGCAGATACTAATAAAGACGTGACTGGTCCCAGAACTGGCTCTGCTTGCTTTGTTCCTCCAGGGGAGGTTTCATCAGGACATCTCTGTGACCCACTGATAAAATGTATTATGAAGTCAGATGGAATTGGTAACAACATGTGAGCTGAACAGTTTTGGACAACTCATTTCCACGGCAGATGGAAGTTGGCCTTATCTGAAGACTCAAAGGAGAGGCTATGCCAGGGTTTCTGTTCTATGCTCTGAGCTAATGGAGAGATGGCACTGAGACCTCTGATGTTAGAATATTTGTGTGCACACACCAGGTCAGAGGTCAACAGCCAGAGAGTCTTTATCAATCTTCACCTTTTGAGATTTCTCATGGGTTTGGCTAAACTGACTGGCCCGTAATCCTCAGGGATCCCCTTGCCTCTGCCTTCCCATGGCTGAGGTTAAAGGTTCATGCTGTGGCACTCAGCTTTTTACTTGAGTGCTGGATCCTGGCACTCAGCTTTTTACTTGAGTGCTGGATCCTGATGTTTGTGCAACAAGGACTCTGCTGACTGGGATATCTCCTTAGTTACCAAGCATTAGAACTGTTTCCACAATAGCTTCCCTACCTAAGTAGAACCAATTAATTCTTGTCATAGAAACCTGGTGGCCACAGACACATAGAACCTGCATCAGGCTTCTGGAAGCTGACAAAGAGCAGAAATAGTTGCAAGAACTGATTTAAAGCCATAGAAAGGAAAACACAGGGCAGCCAGGGCTGGATGCTAGATTCCAGAATTGAGAATGACTCTATGTTGTGGGATATCTGTGCACTGAGTCAAAGTGTATTGCTGTGACCGTTGTAATAAAAACCTGAATGGCTAAAAGTTAGGCAGTTAGTATAGGTGGGCCTTCAGGGCAAAGAGAGAACTCTGGAAAAAAGGCAGAGTTGCCAGTCAGGGACTAAGAGGAGACATGGAAGAAGCAGGATGGGTGGTATGAGACAGAACTAGGTTAATTTAAGTTGTTAAAGCTAGTGGGACAAGCCTAAGCCAAGGCCAAGCTTTCTTAAGTCTTTGTGTTGTTATTTGGGAGCTGGTGGCCCAAAGAAAAATCCAACTACAACCATCTATCAGGTTGAGCAGAGGGGGCAACTCTTGCACTGAAGAGTTCCATAAACCACAAGACCAGTCCTCCAAGGCACTTCTCATTGCAGTTCCTTACCTGTGTTCATCCACTCCTCTTTCTCACGGCAACGGTAGTGCACTAATACTAGCTTTGAAGACAGCTGCACTGAGTTCTCTGGCCCGTGGCTTCTATATTTTTGTTAACGGGACAGGAGTTAGATGTGGCTGGCCAAAGACAGGGATTTCCTTTGTTCTATAAATGGCCAGAGAGTAAATACTTCAGACTTTGAGGTCCTAAGAACTGTTTTACTGTTGTCATCCAAGCAGTGGTAGAATTGGGAGGCAGAGGCAGAGGCAGGCGGATCTCTGTGAGTTAAAGGCCAGCCTGGTTTACAGAGTGAGCTCCAGGACTGGTTTCATAGCTACTGGGAAACCCTGTCTTGAAAAACAAAAAAGAACTATTTTAAGTGTTCAATTGTATCTGAATGGTTTCAAAGTATTCCTGAGTTCCAGTAAAGCTTATTTATTTTTGGCCCTTTGAGACAGGGTTTCTCTGTGTGACTCTAGCTGTGCTGAACTCTGTAGACTAGGCTGTCCCTTGAACTCAGGATCAACTTGCTTCTGCCTCCTGAATGCTGTGATTAAAGGCATGTGCCACCATACCTGGCTAAAGTTTAAGTTTAAGCAGTGGGCAGAGCAGTGGTGGTGCATGCCTTTAATCCCAGCACTTGGGAAGCAGAGACAGGAGAATCTCTGTGAGTTCCAAGAAAAGCTCCAAAGCTACAGAGAAACCCTGTCTCAAACAAAACAAAGAACAAACAAACACTGGGCTAGATGCAGTCAGAAGCCCTGCTTGCAAGGTCATGTGCCACCCCTGCCCCCAACCTAAGACAGAAGTTTTACTTTGTAACCCATGCCAAACTTGAACTCCCAATCCTACTGCCTCAGGCTCTCGAGTACTGCCTTTTACATGTGTGCATCTTGTCAGCTAAAACTACCTTAAAAATAAAAGTCATTCCTTGCCTGGCAGCAATATAATCTCTTCATCATGTCAACATTATAAAGTATAAATGACATGACACAAAGCAAGACTATAGTCTGTGTGTGATACAGTATTCTCCTTGCTGGTAACAGAACACCACAAGCTTAAACACAAAAGAATATTATGGACATGGTAACCACATATGTATAAGGGTCTGGCTGGTGTAATATTTTGTAAACTTTTTTGATGAGCAGAACTACACTTAAAAATAACAGCTAAGGGGCTGGAGAGATGGCTCAGAGGTTAAGAGCATTGCCTGCTCTTCCAAAGGTCCTGAGTTCAATTCCCAGCAACCACATGGTGGCTCACAACCATCTGTAATGGGGTCTGGTGCCCTCTTCTGGCCTGTAGGCATACACACAGACAAAATATTGTATACGTAATAAATAAATATTTTAAAAAAATAACAGCTAAGCAATATAGGCATTTATTACTACTATCATGAATTATACATAATTGTATGTACTCTACTTTTATGTGACTGAAAACACAACAGATTATACTAACATTACCACAGACAAGAGATGTTTTCTGCTATCATCTGACATATTTTTGCTCAGTTGTAACTGTATCAGACCTTGCTTAATATATGGTCCATCAGTAAGGGCTGTCTCTCAAATTGCAACCCCTCTTTTCCACTTTTGAAAAGATTTCCAACTCTCTGTTTCCAACCAACCCATCTGTCTTGCTCTTCACCTACAAACTTACTGTATTTCAAGTGCATTTTTGCAGCTCTAGGAGGGAAGAAGCATGAGTCTTCAGCACACTGGCATGAATGGGAAACCAAGTCAATAACTGTTTTCTTTTGTGTCTTATTTATATATTTAGCAGCAAAATTGCATTTAAAAAAAATCTAGAGGATGAACAAACTTTACTGCTTCAGCTCAAGAACCCCAAGCCAAATAAAAAACAGCAATATGAAAAAATAGCATACTGGTTACTTTCAAAGATAACAAAAAGAATCAAATGCAATAGTGTATGAAGACAATCGCTCCCTGTTGGGCCAAAATTACCTCTGGGCCTCGAGGCCTATAGGACAGAAAAAAACGTCTGGCTCGAGTGTGAGTGAAGATGAGAGAGCAAAAATTAGGTAGACGCCCCTCCAGCCAGAGGGAGGGCTTGGCTGTCTCTCATTGGCTGGAGATACCCCATATCATACGATGTCACTTGAGCTATATAAGCTGATGCTCACAGTAATAAACTCCCTATCACGGCAGATTGTCTTCCATCGTGGGGCTGCAGAAGGGGAGGGTAGTGCACTCACCTTCCCTGGGGAATAAGCAGGCCTAGCAATGACTAGAGAATATGGAGGTTCAAGAAGCCAGCACCCTCCTTTTCAGGAATCACAGTTCCTTCAAATAAAGAATGTGAACCATCTGTCATATTGAACTGATATTTATTTCAGGACATGCCATGTCAAAATAAAACAAAAGAGTCAATCCTTGCTTTTAACAATAACATGTATTATAAAAGCACTTTACAACTCCATCCCATATCTGAGTATACGTTACAGGGTATGTGGAGTAATGATCATCTCAAGGTATTTCTCTACTCAGACCATAATCCAAGTGCTCCCCAAGTACTACAAGGTGGCAGTAATTGAGAGGAAGAGGAGGAAAAGGAAGAGAAGGAGTCAGGTTTTCCCAGTTCAGGATTTTGTTGCAATGAGGAGGTAAGGAAGTGTGAAGTTATTTTTGTTGTCTTTCATCTTTATACTGGGTTAAGTAATGCTTACAATATAAACTCAGTAGGCTTCTTTTGAGCTAGAACTCAAAATGTTTTCCCTGCAAACAATGTATTTACAAACATGTTTATTGACTTACACAGCAATCTCACAATAACTAGTAAAGATTAAAAGGGTGCACTCCTAGGATTATTTGTTTGCAACGTTTCAAGGGAAATACATATTGGCCATGGTGATGAAGCTCTAAATACTCAACAAAACACCTACAAACTCAAAGTTTAAAAAAAGGCAAAGAAATAAATATCACCAAAGAAAAAAAGATTAATTGTAGCTTAAATACAAAACTAAACTGCTAGTTAACTTATTTATATAGATCTAATAAAAAGCAAAAACAGCTCTAAAGACCCAACATTTTAAAAATTCTAAAAAATAAGGCATAAATTTGCATTACAGTGACTTTTATTTTCAGTCTCTCCTTCCCTCTCATTGCATGCCTTCTCTGGTCTGTCTCTAGAGGCTTGCAGGAAAACCACTTCCATAACCACATGTGACCTCAAACGTCCAGAGCAGAGGGGCATTTGCTATTCTGTGAGGGTTCTTTTGTTGTTAAACTTTCTACTAGAAACAGCAATTTTCCTCAAGTTGTCAATTTATATTTTTCTGCTGGTTCTTAAAGGAAACTGGTTTTTACAATGCCTTGTCTTCATAGCATTTTTATGAAAAGAAACACAAGTGCTTTAAGAGTTTACCAACAAAAGAACTTTTACAGAATAGCAAATACCTCTCTCTGGACGTTTGAGGTCACATTTGATTATGGAAGTGGTTTTCCTGCAAGCCTCTAGAGGCAGACCAGAGAAAGCATGCAGTGAGAGGGAAGGAGAGACTGAAAACAAGTCACTATAATGCAAATTTATGCTTTTTTAAGTATTTTAAAAATGTTGGGTCTTTAGAGCTGTTATTGCTTTAAAAGGTGTTGATTTTTTAAGACAATATTTTGACAATTCAAAAATTTGGGGAGAACTGTTTGAACTTTTGTAAATTTTCCATGATGAAATAAATATTGAAAAACAGTTCTAAAGTACTTGGCTACTTTTCTCTCCCAGAGTCTAGTAAAGTTTATGTGAAAGGGTCGCCTGCTCTGGTCATAAATGTTTTATGCTCCTTTACCTGTAAACACTCAGTAAATTCATTAGGACTCATTCTGAAGACACAACAGAACTCTTCCCTCATTTAAGCACTGCTCATCGTGATAGTAATAGCTGAGTTCTGACCTCAAAGAAGGTCTAAGTACTTTATATCAGTGCTCAAGAATAATTTTGTACATTGTGGCTCATGGCATGGCCTGGAGCTAATGGTATCTGTAAAACTAAGGATAATTCCAAAGGGCTTGGCTGGACTGTTGTTTGCCACCTCTCTTGTTTGTTTGGGGAGGGTATGAACAGGGGGTGGGAGAAGGAAGAGGCAAGAGAAGCTGGGAGACAGAAAGAAGGGAGGCAAATTCTGCTGTGAACACACTGCTTCTTCACAAGCTGCACTCACGCTGCTGAGTCTCATCATTTTACAGCACATTGTCATAACATTAAAAAGGGAAAAACGTTAAGAAAATGTATCTAATCCTCAGAGTTATCACGAATATGCTGAACTGTTTGGCTTTTAAAAAATATAAATAATGAAGACACTGACTTTTTTTGTGCTTGTGAAGCTAATAGATCATCTCCATGAAACAGGCAGCAATGATGAATTGCAATGTTATTACTGAAGGGAAAAGGTTCAAGCCAATATTCACACCGCAGTCAATGAAAGAATATGGGGGCCAAAGCAGTGAGCTTCTGCAGAAGGGTTGAAGATGCCAGGGGAAGATTAGCAGGAACAGCCTCCTTCACTAACTGGTTGCTCCTGAGGCTTTTCCAGTTTAATGTCAATCACTAAAGCAAAAGTTAAGGAGTCATATACAAGGAAAGTACAATTCTAACTGCTGAACACTGACATCCCTGGCAAGCCCATCATACATCTATTTGACTTCAAAACCTAGTCAATCATTATTTTCTAGACATATGCATCTCTTATATATAACAAGACTCAATGAAACATAAGCCTTATTCATGGGAATCTACTCTAAGAAAATTATTCTATATGAATGAGAAAACTATTATAGTTAAGTGTTTGACCATATCCTACAAAATAATTCATATAAGGGGAAAATATGTTATTCCAACTTGGTAGAATTTATTAATTACTAAAAGTAATAAAGACTTAAAAAATAGTAAACATTTAGAAATGAAAATCACTGAATACAAGTGTCATGAAGTCTTCAGCTTAATAAACTTGTCCTCATGTAAAAACATCCAATCAAAACTCTTAGAAATAACTGATCATTAGATGTATTTTGTTATGTCCTGTACCTAAAATCAGAGGCCACAATACAGCTCCACTCTGAGTTATTTCCTGTGCCAACTCTGGAAAAACCCAAAGTCAAAGGGATTCAAAATATAACATCACAAGACTGGGGGTGCTCAGGTTTTTTGCTTGTAAAAAGCAAGTGAGGAAGTCTGGAGATATGTTCCAGCAGTTAGGGGTGCTCGATACTCTGAGTTCGGTTCTGGGCACTCACAATGGATGGCTCATAACTATATGTAACTCCAGCTCCAGGAGGATCTGTAGACCTCTTCTGGCAAGCAATCTTTAAAAAAAAGAGAGAGAGAGAGCAGGAAGCCCTGGTAAAACCCCAGGACTACATAAAGACATACTTAGGCAGTGCCTGCCTATAAACTTTATATGCAAGGGGCTGGAGAGACGGCGCAGAGGTTAAGAGCACTGGCTGTTCTTCCTGCTTTCAATTCCCAGCAAGCACAGCTCACAACCTGTGCCGTCTCCTGGCAGGTGTATACATAATAAATAAAATTTAAAAAACTGTTAAAAAAAAACCCAAAAACTTTATACTCAAAAGGTGAAGGGTCAGATGTTTAGGGCTGGTCTGAAATCAAGACTGTCTTAAGACAAAAAAACAAAAACAAAACAAAACAAACAAACAAAAAACCCAACCAAACAAACCCCACTAAACCCACTCTATCCCATCCCCACAGGACAGAAAAAGAGCAAGTGAGCAAGCAACAAAATCTGAATTACAGTAAGAAGCCAGGGCCATTTGGATAACCAGGCCTAATTTGCAAAAGAAATCCTCTGAGTTTCTGTGCACCTAAGAAACCACTATCTAGAGCCGGGCGATGGTGGCGCACGCCTTTAATCCCAGCAGAGGCAGGCGGATCTCTGTGAGTTAGAGACCAGCCTGGTCTACAGAGCTAGTGCCAGGACAGGCTCCAAAGCCACAGAGAAACCCTGTCTCGAAAAAAAACCAAAAAAAA